ACTTTATAATGGTGCAAGACATTCATTTGGTGATACTGGGATTCACAATCAACATTTACAGTTGGAAATGGCAAAGGCATGGATGTCAACATGATCAAGTCAGTGGCAAAATGTACAATGTGAGAATAACATAATTGAAATTAATGACTATTACAAATATTGTATAATAAATGCACCTAATGCACCAGCTGGTGATTTTGTTTGTGGGATATGTACCAATAAAGATAAAACAGATAAGTATGTGATGAGGTTCATCAATGTAAGTTGTTGAAGAAAGGTTCAGTTAACCAAAAAAACTATGTGAAAGAGCATGAAAAGACAGCAGCTGATGATAATGTATTTATATTGTACACTTGTGGAGAATCTAAGGATGATCTTCCAAAGTTATCAGCCATAGTTGATAAAGACTGCTGGAATGCTTATTTTGGGATTTTTGCTGGATGAACATTTATGTATGCAAGAATGGATACTCCAAATTTAAATACTGCTACCACCACTCAACTTACTGGTATGAAAGGAATAGGAAATGAGTATGCTCAAAGAATATTAGGCAAATGCCCATTTAGAGATTTAGATGATTGTGAATCTAGAACAAAAATCCCCCGGACATTACTTGAACAGTTTCAGTTAAAGAGTTCTTTTATAAGTAAATTACCTTTTTGATTATTTTTAAGAAATTGAAATATATAATCAAGATTTTATCGATGCTTAATTCATATAGTAAAAAAATTAAACAATTAAATTTTTTTAATTTTAGTATCAATAACTCGGGTAATTTTTATCAATAATTTAAATGTTATAATCTTGTAAAGAAATTATAAAAAATCAGTAATAAATAAATAATATTTCCAATTTGCATAGCAATTATTTAATAATAAATCAGTTTATTAGTAAAATAATTAAAAACCTACAAAGTGAACTATATAGAGATAAGTGTATATGAAGAGCAATAATAAATATAATGGCTCTAACGAATATCAAAAAGCCATTGATTTTTTAGAAAACGGTTACAATTGTGGTTGTTCTTCAAGAATTCCCAGAGAACAATTTGCAGAATTAAGGGAATCCTTTCAAGCTCTTTCCAAGTCTGAACAAGACATATTTTTAATGGCTCAACTTAAGGCAATGGATGGGGGATTAATAAGCACTAGTAGACGACTTGAAAAGAAAATCAGATCTAATAAAAGAACTTTCTACTGCTGGGATCACAATACACTACCCTGCCAAAAAACCTATCTCAATATGCTAGGAATTGGTAGAACTTATTTTGAGAATCTTAGAAATCACTTGGTCTTTTAGCAAGAGTTCATGGTAATATTATAAGAATGCCTCAATGGAAAACTAAAATGGTGATTGATAAAAATGTTGCTAAAGTAGTAAAGAATTTTCTGGAAAATTATGCAGAAGTTCATGGCTTACCAAGTCCAGGCAGAAGTGTTAATAGGATAACTCAATCAATTACGTTTTTACCAGCTGAAATGAGTTATAAATCAGTGTATAGAGATTTTCTTGCTGGTCTGGAAGAAGATAACAAATTGAAAATTTTAAATATGATGCTTTCAGAAAGTTATGACATCAATTGTCACCAGAAATTCAAATCATGAGTCCAAGTACTGACCTGTGTGATACTTGTCAACATTTTATAGATGGTTTACCTTATAATGCTTCTCAAGAGGGAGAAGCTAAAGATTTGCTCAAAAGATTTAAAGAACATCTGTCCAAGGCTAAACTAGAAAGAAACTATTATAATAAAAATACCAAATTAGCAGAAGAATAAAGAAAATTAGTTAATCAAAATTATTCAAAGGTAAAACACAATATTGCAGCATTGATGCTACTGCTCATTATAGTTATGATTGAGCCCAAAATGTTCATGTACCACA